CATTCTTGTAAAAACACTGTTACATCCACAACAGTATTTTATAAATTAGGTATGCTTATTCATTCTTGTAAAAACACTGTTACATCCACAACAGTATTTTATAAATTAGGTGTGATTATTCATTCTTGTAAAAACACACTGTTACATCCACAACAGTATTTTATAAATTAGGTATGCTTATTCATTCTTATAAAAACACTGTTACATCCACAACAGTACTTTATATATTAGTTTTACCAATGACTTGTTTTAACATTGGCTTTTGACTAGATTACCACTCATATTAACAAGTATAGGACCTTTTTGTTTTATGGTTTGCGTATATATATATATAACGAAAATAAAGGGACACAAAAAGAAAAATAATTGAGGCAAAATTTTTTTTTATAATTTCAGTCTAATTTTCTCTTCATTGTGAACATTTTCTGTTCGTTCAGAAGGTTGTTTGGAAACATCTGTTGAATGACGTCAGAACAAACCAATAGAAACGAAGAACTCGGTGGCTGTGGTTTCTAAATGTATTCCGGATACGTCTATAGTTTGGCCCGGTGAACACCTTTAAATGTATAACTTTCGTTTGGTGTACTGATCAGTGGACCCCCCCCCCCCAACCCTTATTGCCTCAAGTGACAAAACATCCTGTTGTGAGATCCCCAGCTCGAAAACGAACCCTCACTGCACGTGGTTAGCGTGCACCCCCTATTAAATTATTGTACGCGTCATTCTGGTAAACGTCAGCCAGGTGTCCTACATCTGTCGATCGCGCTTGCATTACTCAGAAGAGCGGAATTATGGCCGCCAGGTGGCTGCTTAGAGTCGTCGTTCAACGTAACTTGTTGCATTTGAGGTAACTACTACCGTGGACTTATTTCCTATACACGAGTTAAATTTTTGAAAGACAGACTGTACTCGAACTCGGTAAGATTTCTTTATCATCCATTATGCCTTTATTTGGAAAGAAGAAAAGGCCTGATACAGAATATAATGTTTCGACGGAAAATGCCCAGGAACCACCGGAGGACAAGAGTGAAATGAAGAACGGGTCGAGTGAACATACCAACAAGTTACCTGTTCAGAAGCCTAAACTTGTGTTCCACTGTCAGCAAGCCCAAGGTAGTCCTACTGGGATCATATCAGGCTTCACCAACATCCGGGAACTCTACCAGAAGATCGCAGAATGCTACGATTTTCCTGTTTCAGAGGTGAGTCCCCGTTCAAAATTGGATTTTTTGGCGGGCAGTTAGTGTGTTTTGACGTTAAACTTCGGTTAGTTCTGGATCTTTTCCGTTTGGCGCCCACCAACAGTAATACTAATAAGCGTCAATGCGGAACTCATCGCCAAATGCTTGACTCTTTTATCTTTGTGAATTTATATGGATAAACAGAAACAAAGATGAAGATTTGCTCAAAATAATTTTTTTAGTATCGCAGAATTCATTAAATAAATATGGTTTATTATTAATTATTTTGTTCTGTTGCATTACTGGTGCTATTTTCAAAACGATCTGTTGGTGGGCACCAAATGGAAAAAAGACCCTTAGTTTTTTTCCACGTGATCATTAACCCTAAACATTAAGTTATCGAATAAGTGCCCCATCGTCTTTTTAAAACATTTTTCTAAACCATCACTTCATTGGTTACAAAATGGTCTGTAATAATACACACGTAGCTTGGTTTAATCAGAAGTAAACATCAATATGTGTGCCAAAAACAACAACAAATAAAGACACAATTACTGCAGATAGTTCTCTTAATTACCGCTGATATAATTATAATAAGGGTTAAGGATGAACGTGCTGGGACCAAATGATTTGATTGACTCAGAAATAGATTCTGTTGTTATATAGCAAGTTTCATGAAATACTCAGTGGCATCTGTGAAAAAAAAAACATTTTATTTGTAGCAGAAATTATAACAACATTAGTGTTTAATGTTCAGAGAGTGTTTACAGGTCCTATCCGGTTATCTAATAATAATAACAGTAAACCGTCCAACTATTTTAATTGTTAGACGGCCTTGGCCACTTCTGAATATGTTTCGCCTGGCGCTTTCTCAATTGCCTCTATTGGTATTAAGCAAACACTCGTCGCAATCGGTGGTTCGGGAACAACTGGGGCTATTGCCCCAGGCGCTAGTGACAGAAGGACCCCGAAAATTATGCAAGTTATATATCTAAACAAGAATAATAAAGTAAACTGTAAAATAACGAAACATCATTATAACTTTTATTTTAACGGTAGAACTTGAGTGGTTATTCAACAAACTTCAAAGTTCCTTTAATTGATATATATTAAGAAGATGTTTATAAAATACTGTTGTGGATGTAACAGTGTGTTTTTACAAGAATGAATAACCACACCTAATTTATAAAATACTGTTGTGGATGTAACAGTGTTTTTACAAGAATGAATAACCACACCTAATTTATAAAATACTGTTGTGGATGTAACTGTGTGTTTTTACAAGAATGAATAACCACACCTAATATATAAAGTACTGTTGTGGATGTAACTGTGTGTTTTTACAAGAATGAATAACCACACCTAATATATAAAGTACTGTTGTGGATGTAACTGTGTGTTTTTACAAGAATGAATAACCACAGCACTTGGTGTTAAAAAAAGTCATTTGGTAAAACACAAAACATAACACTCGGTGTTGAAAAACGTCATTTGGTAAAACACAAAACATAACACTCGGTGTTGTAACAAGTTATTTGGTAAAACACAAAACATAACACTTGGTGTTGTAACAATACATTTGGTAAAACACAAAACATAACAGTCGGTGTTGTAACAGGAGATTTGGTAAAACACAAAACATAACAGTCGGTGTTGTAACAGATTTGGTAAAACACAAAACATAACAGCCGGTGTTGTAACAGGAGATTTGGTAAAACACAAAAAACACTGGTGCTGTAACACGACATTTGGTAAAACACAAAACATAACGGTCGGTGTTGTAACAGGAAATTTGGTAAAACACAAAAACACTGGTGCTGTAACACGACATTTGGTAAAACACTGGTGTTGTAACACGACATTTGGTAAAACACAAAACATAACGGTCGGTGTTGTAACAGGAAAT